GATCAGCTAGGTCAGGGGGACCAGTTACTGAGGCGACAGGTTGGTGTCAGGATTAATGGAGCACAAGACATGGGCCCAGGTCCCTGGAAAGCCAAAAGGGAGGGACAAAAGACAGTCCAGGGTGGAAACTGAGATGAGAAGCCAGAAGAACCAGAAAGCTGGGTGCTGATTTCCAGGGAAGACTGAAGAGCAGGGTCAGGGAAAGCCAAAGCCACATCAGGAATCAGGAGAATCAGAGACAGCAGTGAATATGAGGCTTGCCAGAGCAGACTGAGGCTCTCCTCAATGCCTGGTGGGAGCCTGAGGCTGCAGGTGTGCTTAAAGGGGCTGAGCAGTGCTCTAAGCATCCAAAGCAGTTACAGAAAACTGGGGCTGTTGCATTGGCCTGACATCAAGGTCAGGTGTAAAGACTCAAGAGCTTGTCCCAGCCAGGCCTGACTGACCACAGGCTTTGACAGGGAGTGACATAGACAAGATTTGGGTACCAAGTACCTTCTTCAGGTCCCTATTTAGTGCCTGAAAGATTATCCATATCCCTCCCCCAACAGCGGAGTTTATCCAATAGCGGTTCTCCCCAGCACAAATACCTGCCTTGGTAAAATGATCATTTTATGGCTGTTGATGATCACACACACATGCTATAGACAGGGCCTATTTGTAACACAGTCCAATTTTGTATGCACTTACCCAGGCTTCGGCTTTGTGTCCTCAACTGGGGAGAAAACTCCCAAAAACCCAACACTTTTTTTTTCATTTTGCAAAAGTACCTTTCAGTTCCTACCAGGAAATTATGCCATAGTTTAGCAGAATTCTTGTGATGGGTTCCTGGAACAGTGCCTCGAATAGTCATCTTGGATCTGCTAAAATCAGTCCCATGGAGTCCTCAAATAAAAACTGCCTGCCCATATAGAGATCTGCACCTCAACCCAGGCTCAGATCTGCAAATTTTGAAGAAAACCACAGCAGAGGGGTGTGGAGTACTCCACTCCGCTCGGGAAGTCTGTCATATATTTGCAGGCAAGGTTCTTTGGGTAGATGCAATACTTTTTCTTAGACCAGCTAAATAGTTGGGAATTTTTTCTTTGCAAGCTTTCAGGCACAAACACCCTTCTTCCGGCATAGAGAGAGTCTGCTGGTGGTCTCCTGGGTAGAACAGAAGACAATATGCAAAATGCAGGTCTGTGAAAAAGCAAATGCATGGCAGTGAGGATCAGAGGGATGGGAGACAACAGGTCTGAGACAGATAAGTGGGGTGGGGGAAAAGGGAAAATACTGAACTGGTGATAGAACGTAGCTGGTAAAATGCAGACAGGTTACCTGAGGTTATCAGATGGCAGGCAAATTATAATGTGCCATTAACCCAAGGTCTAGATTTACTCCATGATTTCTTGTATGCAGTAGATCTATGAAGTGAAATTCATAGGCTTATCTACAAAAGATGGTTTTTAAATTCCCTTTGAGGATCAGAACTGAGAGATTGGAGAGAGAGTGGTTGTCTTGTGAGAAGTGTCCACTTACAGGTAATAGGGTATTTTTGTCTTTGATAGATTTTTGGTGTGCGTTCATTCTGGTATGCAGTTGTTGTTTGGTTTCTCCTACCTATTTCGTAGAAGAAATGTCATAAATATGTCATAAATTTGAATTTTCAATGCAAAAAATAGCACCAATGTTAGCATGTGTTATGGCACTGGGGTTGCATGGAAATACTTTCCTGTTTCTAAACGCTGTCAGAGTTGTAGGCCAAACTTTCAGCTAGTGTCAGTAAACCTAGCTCTAATGAGTTCAATCAAGCTAGGCTTATTTCCACCATCTATCTGGCCCAGAATAACCATAGTAAAATTGCAGAAGCGCTCATAGCTGAGACAGAAATAGCTAGGTGTACAGCACACCACCCACATTGCACATCACTGGCTAAAGGGGTTGAAGCAGCAAGTACTGGAAACCACAGTGGAGCTGCGATCTCTGAGCTTTCTGGCCGCAGTGTCGCTGCTCCTGTCAAGTGTGACTCAGAGCAGGCTGCAATGGTTACAAGATTGCTCCACCTGTGCACCTGCACAAAGTAGTACCCTTGAACCTACGGGTCAGGGGCTCAACAGGACGTGAGCTGCTGGGGTAAGGTCTTCACATGATTTGTGAGGCTTATTCTTGAGCTCTCTGCCCAACTTGCTGATTCTTAAACCTCAGAGCACCTAGCAGAATCGTTTGTAGGAGAGGCTACCCACAGTCACTGCTCAGATGTGGTTCATATCAGGGGGGGTGCAAAAGCCCCAGGGACTGTAGAGCATTGCACTGATCGACAGGCCTTGCAGTGCGGCAGCTGAACTGCTCAAAGAAAAACAACTGTCTGTATGTATTATGGTGTGATATCTAGCTCCTGCACTGTATCACCTTCTTCTGCTTCTTAAAGGAAACAAAACATCAAAAGAGATTGGTAACAATAGGTGATGCTAGATCCTTTACAAAAGCCTCGAGCTCATGCTCTATTGTCTGTATTAAAAACAAGAACAGGAAATGTTCTGAATGGGCTGTTTTCCTGTGCGTTGCTTGGAATGAAAAATGTCCATTTCTCAACTGAAATCTGTTCCTGTGTCAATGTAGCGCACGTGTCTGTGACCAATGTTGACCACCCACAAGAAAAACATGACCTTTGATCCCTTTGGAAGAATTTTGTTTGAGCAAAAATGAAATTTATTGGACTTTAGATTCTCCAGAACATTTTTAAAAATCTTTTGAATCCTCCAAAACCTTTTTCCCCGATTCTTTGATTCAAAGGCAAATAAATCCTGAAAAAAAACAGGATTTTTCTCAGCCACTGAAGAGTTGTGTGTCAGAATTATATTGGCTTTGGATTCAACTAAATGTCAAGTGCTGAGTTAGCACTGCCTGTTGTCTGAGCAATTTTGTGTCTTGGGATCTGATCCCAACACCCGCATCTCCTGCCATGCTACATGTGCATAGCAGGAAACACATCAGATGCCAATCTCACTTTTTCTATTTCCAGCACAGGTGTAACCTGGGATCATGATCCTTAGCCCCACCTGCACCACCAAGTTCAAAGTTGGAAACATGCAGTCCTGTGTACAGGGCTATGGGTACATGGCTTTGAACTTGCTGCACAGGGGAAGCTGATTAGCTTTCCCCCATACAGCAGCTGTGCACTTGCCACACCGCATGCAGGCCCCTGGCACCTGGCATTGAATTTGATGTACGGGGGAAGCTTGAAAATCCTTTTGCACTATGAATAAGAAAAAGGGATTGGAAATTCAGAAAGTCCCAGGACACAACTGATTTTGAAAAATTTTAACTGAAAGTGTAACAACAAACAGTTCCAGGATTTCTTATCAAAACTAAGAGATTTGCCATATTGAACTAAGATTTCCTAGTTCCTTAATTTACTGATTTGGAAGCCAAATCCCTTCACTAAAGCTGTCATTTACTAGTGAGAAAACTGCTGATGAGAAAAACATACACAAGTACATAAAATAAATTTAAGAAACATAATTGAAAAATTAGCACCAAAACCCTAATATTCTATTGTGAGGTAAAGAGTGTCTTGGCTTCATTCTATCCCAGAATATAAATGGATGTTACCTTCCTTCTTAAATTGATACAGATGATTTAAGACTCACCTGGCATTAAGATTTTTATATTTACATGCCTGAATCCCAGTGGAAATCAGAAGTTCAGAATAGTCAGATGTCTCAGTGAATGTCAGAGTGCACCAAATTCAACAAAAATATATCTTTAATCATCACTGAGCTCCCCCTGACCTTAAAAAATGATATATACAGCCAGCAGATAAATGCTAGAAAAGCAATGCATTGCAGGCACTACTTGGTGAGATGTTTAGGTTATTCCTGATTATGAGTTCTTTTGGGAAGGTAATTAGGACAAGAGTTAGGATGGTTTTGAAGAATACCACTGATCCCTTTAGCAAGTATTTGTTCTCTTGAATATGCCTAAGAGCTCAAATTGAATTCTTCCCAGTTTGCCTTCCTACAGTAGTCCTTATTAGAGACATACAGGATTGAAGTAGGACATCTCCAAAAGTTGAATCTGGTAGGGTTCAACTACATTCATGGAGGGAATTATGCTTTTCAGGTATAGCTGCTTGGAAAAGTTTACTGCAATTAAAAAGATTTTTAAAAATATTTTGACAACTAAATCTTCACCCCATTTTAGTGGATTATCACCCCTACCACACTTCTGTTTTCCTCTGTTATCGTTTAACAAGAACAGTAGTGGGTAAATGAAAGAAGAGACAGGCTCCCTTTTGCAAGTGGAAAAGTAGGACCTAGTCCCATAGATACCTGCCTCTGCCCCCCCTGGGTGGCACAGTCAGAGCAGAACCAAGCAGAGCCCCTGGAGGGTAGGGGAGGAAGTGGGCTGCCTGCCCAGCTGCCTTCCCGCCAGGGTCTCGGCATGCCAATGGGCAGGAGCCAGCATTGGACGGTGGGGAGACTTGGTGCTGCTGCCACAAGGAGCCCTGCTCCAGCCACACTGCCATGGTGAGGCACCTCCTGCCCATCCAGCAGCAACGGGGGGCATAACTCTGTACCACCTCCATGGCCACTGCTACTGGGTGAGCAAAGGGCAACTCATCATGGTGACATAGGTGTCCCCCTGGGGGAGGGCAGCAGGGAAGGCAGCCGTGAGCCTGCCAGCAGGCAGCCCACATCTACCCCATGCACAAATCTGGGGCGAGCACCTGCTTCCCCTTGGCCCCCTCCCCATGAGTGCATGCAGTGGCAGGAAGCCAGCCCGCATGGCCAGCCCCCTGGATGCACCACCCATGGCTCCATCTTTCTCCTCAGCTGGGCCCCACAGCTGTGCATTCCCACCCTGGCCCCCAATCCACACACCAACGCAGCTGGGCAGCACCCCCTGCACCATCACCAGCTACCAACCCTGCCCAAATCCCTCCCTCACCATGGGGACCTCAATCTGCCCCCTCCATCCACATCCCTTATGCCCCCAACGCCTCCCCCCAATTAACTTACCTGTAGGTGGCTGGGGCAGCTGCTCTCCACTGCTGCCTGACCTTTTTCCCAGCCATGTGCACCTAGGCACACGCACACATAAATGTAGTGCACGTAGTGTCCCCTGCATCCTGCTACCACCAGCTCCTTGCAGCCTGCAGTTCTGCCAGGCTGCAAGGGGAAACCCATGGTTTCCTGTATTTTTCCACATTGAATGGAAAACCCAAATCCCTGCCCCTGATACTAGGATGATACTTGACCGTATTCAGGGAAACCAAGGAAAAATGCTGTACCAGAGTCATTCAGCCCAGGACAGGGTCTTGATGATCACATTGCTGTGATCATCCCAATAAGGGATGGCTGGTCCCTGAAGATAGGATGATCTTGGGAGATCCAGCAGTATACATACAAATGCTATCAGTCAGCCAAAGATTTTCGGTCCCCCTCCTCTCACCCACTGCCAGCTGGTGAATCTCAATTCAAACAGTTCAAACTTCAAGGCCAGCCTGAATTCTTCCCTTGCAGAGCTAGGGATTTCTTCACACAGGAGTGGGACTAGATGGCCCCCACCATCCCTCAAGGCCCCAGATTCTGTGTCTCTATAATTCTTCGACTCCTGTGGCCAGCAGCCCTGAAAACCTGCACCACTATCTGGGGCTGACTTCCCCTTGGTAAGACCTGTACTGCATGCAAGGCAAGGAGGTCCCAGAAGGCAAATGACTGGGTGGCAGATTAAGAATTGGATGCTGGTGGCATTATGACATCAGCATCCCGGAAGTAGAGTTACTGAGTCACAAAGCCCTGGCTCCAGAGGACCAGGAGACACAGACATGACCATAGGGGTAATGTGTGAGGGGACTGGATCCCAGGTGGATTATGCTGCGGCTGTGTGTCCCCAGGTCAGGAGAGTTATTGGAAAGAAGACTGAGAGGCTCCTGCAGATGCCACTGATGAGACCTTTTGAATGTCTCATACTGAGGGGAATAAGCTAAACTCGGCCACATAAAGTCAATTACAAGGTTTGGATCAACAAAGGAGCTCCGGGGATGGCACTTGTCATTCTCACCCCACAGACTCTTTCTTATCAAGAAGTCGCTGCAGCATGAATCATCCTGGGGTCCCACCCACCCAGACTGGCTGGCAGGAGTATCCCTGTCCTCTGGTCACCCCAGGCCAGGGCTTTGGGACTCGTGGTCAAAACCACCTCCCAATTACGTGGTGGCATTTGTTGGGGCCGAGGGGCTGTGGCCAGCAGCCCGGGCACGTGGGCGGGGAAATTCGGCACAACGGACTAGAATTAGGCACGGACTCATAGCGGTTGAACAAAGAAAACTTTACTTACACCGTAGGTGGTCGCGGTGCAGGCAGAAAGACTTGCTTGCGTTGCAGTTACAGACAAACACACGTGGAGTTTGCTAGGCTCCACCGAAGACACACACACATGGAGTTTGCTAGACTCCGCAAAACGAACCGTACAGAGCTCTGGATAACGAAATGAAAGTCCGAAATATGACTCTCAACGAGCGCGCAGGGTAGAGGTACGTCGGGATCGCTTGGTGACGGGGAGAGATTCTTGATAGCTGATCAGACCACCAGTCGGTCCGAGATTTACATAGAAGTCCATGAAGTAATCATGGAATTCTCTCTGGAATTCTCTCGGATTTCTCCCAGAATTCTCAGAATCGGGGATCTCGGGGTCCTCCCGAGATTCTCGGAGATCTCCGGCTTGGGCGGAAACTGCTCAAGCCTCTTATACGGCTAACAAGACCAAGCCAATCGCTAGCCACCACATGGGAATAGTTTAGAAACAGCCAATAGGGGGCACAAATTTGCATATGCCTGGCGGGAACTTTTTGCACTGGGGTTTTCTCTCTGCAGCTGAGAATTGCACCGTGCAAAGAAAGTTCCATGTGGCTGGAAATAATTCTGCAGTGCCAAAACACACACACAATCATTGGGTCATGACATCCCCCCCTTGCTGAAGGCACAGCTGAATTATACTATATGCTCGTCATTCAGGTTGTCGAAAGCTCTCACAACGGGTTGTTGAACTAAACGGGTAAACACAAAATCAGACAACATAAGAAGTTCGTCCTCCAGGGACCGAACCAAACAATAGCCGGCACAAACACATACACACATAACCAGGTTCATAACAAAAAATTGAACTATCAGGGCTTCAGTGGGCGTCATGGTGAAGTCGCGCGTCAAGCCCTTACTTCTTCGATGATGTTGTCCTTCTTGGGGCTTCTCTCCGCCACGCACTCTGAATTCTGGATCTGTAAAAAGAATTCTCTTAAAACAGTTATTTCACTAATATTACAAAATTCACATGGAACCACACGACAAGGCGGTCAATTAAACTCACTACCACTCCCAAAACATATAATACAGGTGTTTGAACACAACTCTACTCTGGACAACCCTCTCTTGTACACTCAACAAGATGAAAGCATTGAGGATTCATCATCCAGTTCTTCTAAATAATGAAAACCTAACTCATACGCCAGTTGCCATTGGCCCGCATCCCCTAAAATCCGAAGTTGCCGCTTATTGAGTCCAGAACGCTGTAGAAGTCCAAACATGAATCGCTCCTCTGGTGTTCTCTGTGGCAATGGTGGGAGATCAGATTCACGATGCCTTGCGCCTTGAGCCTCGATCGGGTGTCGATGTTCCCGATCGCTGGATATTCTTGGCTCCATCAGGATATGCAGTCGTGACAACTGACGAAGAAGATTACTCACGGGTTGATTAACCATTGGGTTAAGCAGAATCCGAAGGACAACGATGTTCTTTCGCCCATAAACCTCAAGACAACTATCTATGCTGTGGGTGGTTACTGGAACGGCTCCAGGGTTTTGTAGATGACGGTGAGGCCATGGTCTTATTTGCTGGAGTGGTGTCAGTCCCAGTGCACATGCTCAATACGAGACTCTGATAATCGTTAGCATAAGTTGCTCTGCGCTGGTATGTTCTGGCTGTCCGTCATGCCATGCGTGGGCTTTTTGACCGATTAGTCCTGCAACAAGCGCTGGAAGTGGAATAGGCCAGTACATGTTAAACGTCACCATGTCGATGTCAGTGACATGTCCTCTACTCCACGAAGCTTGCCTGAACAAGAAGCTTGCTTCTTCCCGGTTCAGAACTGGTTGTTGTTCTAGGATGAACTGCTACTGCAGGAATCGATGCTGTTATTGTTTCAGGCAGGAGGGGCGGATGCACTCCTCCGCTCGATGCTCCCTCCCATCGGCAAGAAGGCACGGTCGCCGGAAGCGATGCTGCGTTGGTGGGCGGGGTTGCCGGCCGAACTCTCACGTGTTCCTCTGAAGCTCCGCCCTTCTCTTCCGGTTCTTCCACGCGGTCTCCCTTTTGCTCGGTGCCATCTTGGAGTGGCGTCTCAAGATTTTCTTTCACAGCATACTCTTTGACCGCTTGAACAGCCATATGCAGCTGGGCTCTCAAACTTGCATTTTTCTGCATTAGATCAGTTACAGTACAAAAAGTTGCAGTTAACATTCTCCCCTTGTCGTACCTCGGGGCTACCCTCTCATCTGCGGCACGTTCCTCCATCTCCAGATCTTCACGGAGCTCGGATGGAAGCTCGCAACCCCTCAATCTAGACGCCACCATAAAGGGGGTGAACCGGTCGATCGGCACCGGTTCTTCACTCTCCCGAGCACATCGCGAGCAATGGGCACACTCCTGGGTGAGGGTCGGGTTTACTGCGCTTGCCGGGTTGACTCTGGCAAGGGACACAGTCTCGAGGGGCCTAAACAGGACCCGCTCATCATTCATTATACACCCGAATGCCGCGGGGTGAAGATACACTTCCCTCTCTCTTGGGGCTCCGTCTTCAGAAGCTCCCTCTTCTCCCTTCAGCAAAAGGTGTCCACTGATAAACCTTTCACCCGTTCCACCCGCCCAGTGGTAAGCGATATGCGCCTCCAGTTCCACGACGCTTGCCACGTCGCGTTTCCCACTTCGCCAAGGGCAGTTCTCAACTAATTCTAATTCCATCGTGCTTTCCCCGAATCCCATCTTCGTCATCATGTTGGGGCCGAGGGGCTGTGGCCAGCAGCCCGGGCACGTGGGCGGGGAAATTCAGCACAACAGACTAGAATTAGGCACGGACTCGTAGCAGTTGAACAAAGAAAACTTTACTTACACCGTAGGTGGTCGCGGTGCAGGCAGAAAGACTTGCTTGCGTTGCAGTTACAGACGAACACATGTGGAGTTTGCTAGGCTCCACCGAAGAGACACACACACACAGAGTTTGCTAGGCTCCGCAAAACGAACAGAGTTCTGGATAACGAACGAAATGAGAGTCCGAAATATGACTCTCGACGAGCGCGCAGGGTAGGGGTATGTCGGGATCGTTCGGTGACGGGGAGAGATTCTTGGTAGCTGATCAGACCACCAGTCGGTCAGAGATTTACGTAGAAGTCCACAAAGTAATCATGGAATTCTCTCGGATTTCTCCCGGAATTCTCGGAATCGGGGATCTCAGGGTCCTCCCGAGATTCTCGGAGATCTCCGGCTTGGGCAGAAACCGCTCAAGCCTCTTATACGGCTAGCAAGCCAATCGCTAGCTGCCACGTGGGAATAATTTAGAAACAGCCAATAGGGGGCACAAATTTGCATACGCCTGGTGGGAACTTTTTGCCCCAGGGTTTTCTCTCTGCAGCTGTGAATTGCACCGTGCAAAGAAAGTTCCATGTGGTGGGAAATAATTCTGCAGTGCCGAAGCACACACACAATCATTGGGTCATGACAGCATTATGACATCAGAGACCCTCACAGGGATTCCTTGGCCTCTCTCTCCAGCTTATTTGCTTTTTCATATGTCATTGGCTTAGAGCCCAATTCTCACCTGGGAAGTCAGGGCAAGGCAAGAACATGGTTCCCTGCTCAGAGGTGCTGAGTTCCAGAGCCCCCGAGCAGTGAATGAGTCTGAGTGAATGAATTGAGGTACATGGGAGATGTAGCTCAGGAGGTCCAGTGCAGTGTGGGAGAAAGAGCTGGATGGAAGAAGGAGATGCCTGGGGAGACCTCCAGGAACAGGGAGGAGAGAGTAGGGAGATGGGGAAAGAAGAGGGACACAGGAATAGTCAACCGCTGGCACATATGACACAAGGGACATGGACAGCAACTGTGTTTCAAACAGATCATGCTGCAGCTGCTCCTTGAGGCTCAAGGACTTGATGCCAGCGCAAGGTCAGGTGCTAGAGGCTCTTTCCTACAGGGTCTGGCCCCTTGCTTTGCAAGAATAAGGAAGTGGGAGGCCCACAGTTACCCTGGGACTGGAGAAATCCATGGAGTCCCTTCCTTCCCATACAGATTAGGCCTGGGAAGGATGTGAGAGAGCAGGATATGTCATCCTCTAACATACCAGATATTCCCATACAGTTTTGCACCTTTGAGTTCCAGTCACAGATTGAGCTTGTACCAATCTGCTAATGTACATAGCACAACTTCTAATTCAATCTTCCCACACCCCACTCCAAACTTTAACCCACCTGCTTATCCATCTAGACATTTCTTACTCACCTTTCTAGAGTCCCATCTCTAGTGCCTTGGACCATGAACGACTCGTGCCCCCGGTGAAAGGTGGGTCACGGCAGTAGCAGGAGCACGACAGCAAGAGCGGCGGGAGCAAGGCGGCGGTAAGCAGGGTTGCTCCCACAGACAGAGCCAGCAATGTCAGTGGCTGGGAGGGCAGGGTGGCAACCGCCGAACGAGGGTTGATGACCACCCACAGCCACTGCCGGCAGTGACAGCAGTGACCAGTGGGGATTGTAGACCGCCCGCAGATGCCACTGGCAGTGTAGGCAGTGGGTTTTCAAGCAGCAACCACCCACAGGCACTGCTAACACTGTTGGCAGTGCCTTTTTTTAGGGGCTGTGCTGTCACGCTCAGGGGGTGCACATGCACCCACTTGCACCCCCTATGCATCGCCCCTGCCTTGGAACTCACCTGATCTCTAAACAACTTCCTCCCACTGCTACTGAATGGTAGATCCAAAATCTCATCTTTTTTCTAAACTTCCCTTCCCCTTTATCACCCAGCACTGCTCAGAAGTGTCTCCAGGCCCAATGCTCCACCATGCAGAGGCACCACTGGTGACTAGTAAACCACCTGTCTCCCTCAGCCTCCCTGTCTTGGGCAAATACCTAGGGGGGAATCTCAACCAATGAAGCTTCAGACTGCAGATGACCTGGAATCATGGCTGAAGGTGTGCCGAAGCATCTCTGACATAATAATGTTCAGGGATGACCTGGGCCCTGGCACTACGTAACAAGGGACAACCAATGCTCCCAAGTGCCAGTCTGTTATATTCCTACCAAAGACTGGTCCCACGAGAGCTGCTTCAAGAGCAACAGGGGCTGCAGAGTGGGAGACAGAAACATCCCATGGAGACACGTGGCTGCTGGACCTCCTTCTGGGGGCAGGAAAAGAGGTGGTGGATGCAAAGCCTGGCTGGGCTGGGGTATGCTTGGCTGGGCTGGGCTGGGCGGGGCCTGGAGGCACCAAGGGAGGTGCGACAGTGCTCTCACCAGATGGAGAGGAGGGCAGCCAGGGGCAGGAGTAACTAGTACATGGTCTAATCTGCTGTAGGAAACACACCCGCCCATCCTTCACCCAACCATCCCCCTCTGCAGTCTCAGCATGAAGGGGCGATGTGTGCCCCTCACACCTTCTAACACAACCACCCATCTGTCCCTCCAACCCTTTCTTCAACCTCCTGATTCTCTGTCCTCATGCCGCATCCACTCCTCAGTCTACCACCATGAACCATCCCTTTCACCCATACTCTTCAGACATCATTGACTCAGCCTGTCCCTGATCTCCAATCTCACTTCCTCTCATATCCCAAACCCAGACTACATACCTACTCTTTGGTCTACACTGATTGAGGAGTTGGTGATGTCTTGGCGGTTCATGACTGGACTAGGGACCCTGATTGCCTTTCCTCACAGTCACTGCTTGAGGGCACTTGCTCAGGGCAAGGGAACAGTGTGAGGGTAAATCACTGCCAGGTTCCCTGGGCAATTGCAGGAGGCAGGACAAGGTTGCTGCAGCCAATGTGGTCCCAGGAGGACTGGCCAGAAACCTCTGTAGCTTGGCAGGGAGTCAAGGGAGCGTATCACTTGCACACTGATTGGAGCTGTCTCTGTTGCCTCTGCAGAGTTGCAGAGGATGCTGTGGATTTCTACATTGCTTATTTGGAGTCCACGGACCATGACCACCTGTGGCTCTGCTGGTCTTCACTGAACAGACCAGCATGGATGTGAACTGGGGCACATCTTTGAAGTCGACATTCTGGTTCACAGTAGCATGGAGGAAGCTGACCTGCCTGAGATGTGTCCCAGCTGCACAGAAAGGAGGCCAGGCCCATTGAAAACTTTGACCTCCTTGAAAGCCTTGTGAAGCCTAAAGACAACAGGAGACAGGAAGAAGGAGAACTGCTGTCCCCTGTACTGCCATCCCTTGGACACTAGGACCAGGATTAGGGAGGACCCAGGAAGAGCTATGACATGGCTGGCCTGGTCACAGAAGGTGAAGGCATCATCTGGAAAGGAAGCTTCTTCCAGCAGTGAGGAGAGACCTACAGGTAAAGGTTTTCACTCACCATGCCAATAACACTTTGCATGTGGGGGTGTGAGAGTGGCCTACCCATAACATTTTTCCAGGCCTGGGACCTGAGGGCTGGTTTTACCAAGAACAGGAGCAGCCTGGAGCATGGAAACATAAGTGGGCCGTGGACACTAGGGAGCTGGTCCCAGGAAGGAGGGAAGCCTGTGGGCATAAAGGAGCCAAGAGGCAAAGAAGGGCAGAGAAGTGAGGCCCTGGTTAGAATCCAGAGCCCTGGCAGCATCTCCTTGGCCAGGACTAGCACAAGGTGGTCTTGATCCAGGTCTGAATGGAGGAGGACATGGACCAGCTTCTCCTGCAGAGAGAGCAGCACAGAGACGTGTCCTGGCCCCTTCTCTCATGTCATCCCTGTGGGGCAGAGGATCCTGTATGACTCCTGAATTCCTGC